ATCATTGTGCCAACTGTAAAATCTCTATCGCCTTTCAGTGGAAGACTTCATTCATGAAAAGCACATAATTCCAAAGGAATCTAAAGTCAGCACCTAGGCCCTGGCTAATGCCGCAGGCAGATGCTAAGCCTCCAAGTGAATCATTGGCTACTGGGCACATACGCTGCACCTGCAGTGTTGGCCTTGTCAGAAGTCAGGCCGTTCATGCTCTCTTGGGTGGATGTGCTTTGACTGGAGCTGGCTGGAAAGGAGAACGAATCACAGTCGCCAGCTCAGCAGAAGCACACATCTTAACTTGCACGACTGCCACATGCAGACCAGAAATTCTCAGTGTCAAGCCTAGTCGACAGAGAAAGTCACTGGTGTTCCTTAAAATTCCTCTCCAGAGCAGACAGATGAAAGGATTGTAAAACACTAAGCGAAATCAAACATGCCAAAAATCAATGCTGCTAGTAGAGCAGCATCTCTCTGCTGCCTCTCAATCCACCAGGGACGGATTAGCTCATATGAATTAGTACCAACTAAGAGAGTTGTTGATTTCATGGTCTTGAAGGATAACTAACATTGATTCTTACCAGAAGCAGTCAATATCTGTCTGAAAACACATTTAGAGCAGGCAGGGGATAAAAAGTGGCTACTCAGCAGACGACTCTATCGTCATGGAAATCAGCGTTCTTAAACTGCTGCTTCTGAGATCCATTTTCTCATGTCTGACATCTGGAATATGTTCCTCCCGGCCTTTGGTGGCCACGTGGCGACAGCTAGCTACCTTGCAGTCACCTACGTGGCTCTCTTCTCGGGAAGGTACCAACTCGATTTGCTTCATCCTGACTAAACACCACTGAGTTCCACCTGTATAGAACGTCTACAGCAAAACACAGAAACACAGAGCCAGTGTCCTGCCGAGAACTGGGCCCGCTGTACAATGGCCTTCTTGACATCATGGCATGGGGTACTGTGGACACACGCCAAACACAAATGTAGCTAGCATTCTGATTAAAAGCTAGGGTTCTGAAGGCTGGCCTCCTGGCTTTGAATTCCAGCTCTTTTATCAGCTGTTTGGGAAAAACCACTTAAGCTCCCTTAATAGCAGTTTTCTCATCTACAAAACTAGGGAAAATCTCCTTGACAAGGGTGAGTATACTGAGAAAATTCCTATATAGCTTAGAATAGTTTCTAAAAAAAAAATAAATGTTAGCTATTTTTGAAATAAACTAGATATACAGATGAAATAAGAGCAGACATTTTAGGAAGCACACAGAGCGTGGTACTCAATTTCCCAGGATTGTGCTACATTCTGCCTTTAGAAAGAGCTCAAATCAGTAGCAGGGATCATTTTGCAAAAACTCTAAAACATTGCCATTCTGATTGGAGTCTTACATGTTCTGGAACACATATGCCAACCAAGGTACTGCCTTTCCTATTTTAGGAATAAAGGCACTTCAAAAGATGTGTGGAATGTAGAATTAAGAGACAAAATACACACTGGTACAAAAATATTTTTGAATTCCATGCACAGAGAATTCTTCAAAAGTTTATAGAAAATTTGTTTCATGAAAAAACCTAAGCATGAATTTGAAACTTCTTTTATATCAAAGCCAATGCATGTTTTAATTCCACTTTTCCATAAACTTTCTGAGGTATGCTCATGTATTTTCTGATCTTTGTTCAGAACTGGAGATCACAGAAGAGATTCAAAACTTTTCAGTTGCTCAATGTACCATTTCTAGAAATACTGTAACTCCTTCCTCTTCCACTAAACTTGTATTTCTGTCCTCCACAAAGCAAATTTTGCTTGCAGAAAAAAGAAAAATAAGGAATTCCTTAACACTGCCCTCAAGGCCCCCACAATCTGGCTTTAGCCTGTGTTTTCAACTTCTGTTTCTTTATTTACTTTCTGTCACAAATCCCACAGACTGGTTTTCATTTGCTTATTCACTGAGTTGCTCATTTCATTCAAAAACTATATATGCTTCCTTATACTATGCTAGGAATTAGGCCTGATATCAGAGAAAAAAGATTTAAGAAAAACATATAGAATTAGCTTTTTTATATTTAAAAATGAATGGTTTAATTTATATAATTTTTATTTATATATAAAATAAATAAAAGTATTTCATGATCCCACTTGTAGGTAGAACATAAAACGAGCTTTTGAAAGATGGCTATAAATGAGGAGACTAAGTATTCCAGGGACAGATAACAGAAAATGCTTCCTGGTTGATCAGTTCAGTTCTGACTATGCAAAGGGAACTGGTGTGTGGAAGGCATGTTTGCGGAGGGAACACAGTGTGGCCCAATGCAAAAACACTGGTCATGGGTACCTCATAAAGCTCTTGGAAATTGGAATTAAAAGACATTTTTCTTTGATTAATAAAATCAGAAATTCATAGACAGAAGGGTTAGTCAAAACATTCATGCAACATGCATATTATGGAAGAATTACGCATGCATTTCAATCTTGTATTTTGAGTCAATTTCTACATAAACTTTTAAAATGTGTTTATTTGGAAGATAAAGAGAGGTGACAAATATCTGCCATTCACTGGTTCCCTCCCTCCTGGTCACTGCTGACACTGGGACAAGCTGAGCACGGCAAGGACTCAGCCACAGTTGCCTCAGGAGACTGAACTCAGGTGCAGAGCGCGGCTGCATTCCAAGAGACAGTTAACCTCTAGATTAAACACTTGCCACCACAAACTTTTGCAAGTAGTCTTGTCTAGGCTGCAATTTTTGTTTTGTTTGCTCAAACAAGCATTTCTGTGCCTCTTGATATCTGAGTTGACCATTGTTGCATATAGCAAAGTATACCTGACTAGGCAAGGCCAGTTCAGGGAAGGGTATTTCTTTTTTTTTTTTTTTTTTAAGATTATTTTATTTTTATTGGAAAGTCAGATATACATGGAGGAGGAGAGACAGAGAGGAAGATCTTCTGTCTGATGATTCACGCTCCAACTGACCAGAATGGCTGGTGCTACACCGATCCGAAGCCGGGAGCCAGGAACTTCCTCTGGGTTTCCCACATGGGTGCAGGGTCCCAAGGCTTTTGGGTCATCCTCAACTGCTTTCTCAGGTCACAAGTAGGGAGCTGGATGGGAAGTGGGGCCGCTGGGATTAGAACTAGTGCCCATATGGGATCCTGGCGCTTTGAAGGCAAGGACTTTAGCCACTAGGCCATGGCACCAGGCCCAGGGAAGGGTATTTCAAATGACATGTACGTCTCTGAAGCAGGCCGGAATGAGACTTCCCTGAGCCTGGCATGGGCCTCTGGAGCAACAGGCTGACTTTGTCTGACAAAGGCCCAAGTAAAGTTCGCCTGTGACATTTGTAAAGAAGCAGCCCAGTGTCTAAAACAAGATCCAGCAGAGATGAGCTCAAGACAAAAAAGAATGAGTCCCAAGGCTGCTGAATTTCTCTCCCAGGCGAGGAGGCCATGGCTCACCGTCTACTTCCTTCACTTCCACAGGTCAGTAAATGAGGCTCTGTGACCTTGAGCTAAGGTTTTGCTACTCTGAATGGACAGTTCTGACTGCTATGTCTGCCTGGTAAGAAACCTGACATGGTAAGGCCATGGCACCTCAGACAAACGCTAAGACATGAAATGTGTTTAAGCAGCTGGATCAGAAGCACTGCGGAAAAGCAGTTCAAAAGAGAGATTCCATGGAGACCACGCAGGCTCTTCTTAAGCCTTCAAGAATTTGATTCTGTCTTCAACTCCCCACCCGGGAGAGTCCATGAGGGCCTGGCCTGCCTCGCACCTTCCTGATCCCACTTGGCTCCGGACTCCTGCTGTGCTTTTTGGACCTGAGTGTCCATCAGCATCCCTCGCGGGGGATGGGAAGCCAGCCTTACTGTGTGAGTTCTGATTCAGTAGCTCTCCGTGGGACCTGAGACCCCTAACAAGTTCCAGGGAAGCTGCTTTGCTGTTGTAGCCGCTATGTTTTGAGAGCTTGTGCTCTCCACACACGTCAGTGTAACTGTATTCCAGTTCATTTGGTCGTCTAAATCTCCTAGGAGATGAAAGGGTCTTCACGCGGCCCTGAGCAGCTACCACACAGCTTTACACAAAATCAGCAAAAAAATTTCTGAAATCCATGTACGGAAGGGGGTCTTCAAAAAGTCCATGAAAATATGTGATTTGAAAACACTACATGAACTTCAAAAGAAACTTTCAAAGTCATTTTTCACACACTTTTTGAACTACCTTCATATTACTTTATGATTAACTTTGGGGATAAAATAAGTGTCATAATAAATCCCCTTAGGTACCACCCAAATAGAATCTCTTAGAAAATTAGGAAAAAATTCGATCAGCCATTGGACATAGTAGTTAGGACACTTCCAAGCTAAGCTAAGCTGCTGCCTGCACGCTGTCATCATATTTGTTAGTGTTAGTTGGAGTCCTGGCTGCTCCACTTCCCATCCTGCTCCCTGACAATGTGCCTGGAAAAGCAGTGGAAAATAGCCCAAATGCTTGGACCCCTGCACTCAGGTGGGAGATCTGAATGAAGCTCCTGGCTCCTGGTTTCGGCCTGGTCCAGTGCTGGCTGAGGAGGTTCCCTTCCCCTACCCCACTCTGTAACTCAGCCTTTCAAATGAAAACAAAACAAAACGGAAAAGGTCATTCTTGAGATGGCCCCATGCCATATTGGAGCACCCGGGTTCTAATTTCGGCTCTGCTGATTCCAACTTTCTGTTACTGTGCAACCTGAAAGACAGCAGTGATGGCTCAGACAGCTGGGTCTTGCCACCAATGTACGGGGCTGGATTGAATTCTTGGTTCCTAGCTTTGGCCTAGTCCAGTCCTGTCTGTTGTAGGCATTTGGGGAGTGAAGCAGATGGAAAACCTCTGTCCCTTTCAGAAAAACAAAAAACAAAACAAAACAAAACCAGTATAACTAGAGAAAAGACAGAGAGGTAGAAATATCCTGGTTTCCTTTGGGCTGCCTAATTTTAATTTTTCCACTGGGCTGCTGTGGGTGGGTACAGGGTAGCATTACCTGAGGCATCCTGTGGCATTGTAGAATATATCAAAGTCAAGTAAACCATTTGCCTTGGGGTAGTCTCCTTCCGGCCACCCAGAAAACGGGATGATGATATTTTCAGTCAGGATGAGCAAGGCTTCTGTTATCATGAGATTCTTGAGTTTGTCGTTAGAGGACAAATTCCACAGCAAACCTAGAAAATCAGAGTCATCATGAGAATAGTGCAGGGTGGAGTCACAAGCACTGTTGAAAATTTCAGACTGTCACCTCCAGACCCAGCTATCCTGATCCTAGGAATACACCCAGAAGAAATGAAAGCTACATATGAGAAGGAGATCTGTAATTCTATAGTTACAACAGCATAATCTACAATAGCAAAGACATGGAAAGAATCCAGATGGCCATCCAAAGAGGACTGGCTAAAGAAACTGTGGTACATCCACTCCATGGAATATTACTCAGCCATTAAAAAGAACGAAATTATATAATGTGCAACTAGGTGGTCCCAACTAGAGACCATTATGTTCAGTGAAATAAGTCAATCACAAAAAGAGAAATACCATATGTTCCCTCTAATATAAGGAATCCATCAAACAAACTAGAATGTATAGTGGTAGAGAAATAGAGACTACCATATCCAGAAATGAAAACACAATGCAACATGCATCTCTACTTCTAAACAAAAGATGGACTCCCAGTGAAAACGTTGGATGTATCTAGACAATGGGATGACGGACTGTCTGACATTGTCTGTACCAGCAATATTGGGGCACACTTAAATAGGAGACTGATGAAATTGTAACTCCTTATGAAGAGTTGTAACATTATGAGAAAAATCAATCGGGGGCTGGGGTGGAAACTGGGGGTCGGGGGCAAGAGGGGAATCCTGACTCTAGAATTGTACGATAAATTTCAAAAATAAAAATTATAAAAAAAGACTGTCACCTCCAAGACTTCGAGCAGTTATGGCAAAGGAAACAAACAAACAAAAAGATTTGGTAGCCAGGAGTAGGAGGAAGGGGACGGTAGACAAATCTTTTGTCAACTGAAAGAATTTGTTTATGGCGCATTACATAATTAGATGAGAATGGAAGCTGGTTCAACGAACAATTAAAGATACACAGCCTAAGACATAAAAATGTACAGGTTTAAATTAAACAGGAATGTGAATGAGAGCCAGTAATACTTAAACATTTATTGCTGTTTGTCTTTAAAGACCCTATTACAGAGCTGATCTCATTGGGATAATGAACTCTGGGCTCAGCAACAGGCAGACATGAAACAGTCCTGCTGGGTGTAGGGCATCACATCATAAAAGAGCCCCATTGCTCACTTCTTCCTGCGATCATGGGGAGACTACCTCCCCTGGCCTCCCATCCTCACTACCTATAAATTTTACTTGACATTTTGCTTGAATAAACAGCCAGGAGAGCCTGCACTAAGCCCTTTTCCATGCCTGTCTGCAGCGGCTGATCACCACCACCAATTAGTGTTTATTGCCTCCAAATCAATGATAAATGTATGCCCTCCAGGGGTTTACCCTGGCTACCTGATGTACGGCTTATTTTACAGCTTGGCAGTGTAAGCCCGAGAGAAGCGCTGCGCCTTGTCTATCTGCCAGCTTGCACCGCCTAAGTACTGTTCAATACTAGCACGACAGTTCCCAAGCTGCCCTTTCCTTCTCAATCCCCACACTGCAGGGAAGGACACAAAAGGGAAGACGTGACGATGACACAGTGTGCTTTCCAGGCCATTTATGACGGGAAGATTGAAACTTGATCCTGAGAGAGGATGGAAAGCAGTATTTACATTTAGGAATTTTCTTGTGAATTTGGTGCTCAAATATTTATGACTCAGTGGAAGAAATGCATTACCACTGTCAGCTACCCCAGCAGGGGTGTAGGCTGGCTTCGCTCTGTTATACTTTAGCGAGACACCCGACTCAGTATCTTGTAGGCAAGCGGAAAGAGTTGAGGCTCTCTTCCTCCTGCCCTGCCTCCGCCGATGGCTCCTAAGTTCACTGCTGTCTGTCCCAAGAAAAGGGGAAGTACAGGCACAGAGCACGGTCCACTTTATGAAAAAAGTGCACGCGGCAGTCTTGGCTGAATGAGGTGGTGACATCACCTCCCCTGATCTTACTGCATGATAACTTAGTTAAAGCATGGTCATCATTCAATCATATTTGCATCTGGCCCAATCAATTAAAGCACCTTATGCCCAATATGGACTCTGGGCTGAACGAGTTTGCTCTAGTTATGAATGTATTCTAAAAGGGAATGCAAAAGTTAGTGAAAAACGGAATTAAGAGTTCATTTTAGTGAAAGTCATTTTGAAATCCATACCTAGTTTTTTCCATAATGCACACTTTTCTCCAGGTTTTGTGAGGATCCCTCCTGACTGATGACCCAATGTCGCCTGCAGCCTGTAGCCTACATATGGCTCCTATTAAGCTCAGCAACACTGGGTCTGCTGCTGGCTGAGTATGGGACCTCTGGCCCGCCGGGAGCCTTGTCCCGGGCGAGCTAGCCTGTGGCTTAGGAGCAGTGCGCCCAGCCTCTCTCTATAACACAATGATCTCATTCCTCCCACTTTATCTCAAGAGGCCCTGGAAGAGGAACAGAAAGAACCCAACTCAGAAGGTGGTTCAAAGGCAGCTCTGAGGTTGAGTTTTAGTTACTAAACTACAAAAGAAAGCTAGAAAGAAGAGAGAAAAAAGAAAGCTTCCTGAGTTCTAAATAAGCAAATAAATTAATAGTCTCAGGCTGCCTGAGGCAGGCATAATGACATTTCCTCTTTAAAAAGGACCACACATGGCACTCAAAGGGAAGCACACCTTACAACAAAAACCAGAGAGGATTAACCCGAACAAAGGGAATGGAATTTGTCCTCCAACAGGCAATATCCTTTGTAGCACGGATACCGCATTACTTCCACAGAAGTATATCGTCCGACAAGTTTTAGTATGATGTTTGAATTTTCAGTATGGGCTACTGTATGGAAATGTCAAGTCTGTCACATTGTGAGATGCCAGGGAAGTGGCAAAGCGCCAAGGCTCAGTATAGATTTGGAGTTGTATACATTACTGTACACACAGCCTCACGCACACATACACACGAAGCATAATGTGAGACAAGAGCACAGCAATCCGAACATACAGTTCTGCCACATTTTTGAACAGCGAAATACCAGTAGAAAAATCAGGAAACTATTTCACACTAAGATACCAGAGCTAACATGAATAAGAAAAATACATGTTCCTGAGTAACTATGAAATGCAGATTTAAACCACCACTCATAATTTTCTGTGACTCTAGGAGGCAAAACCAAAACTAGACAATTCTAAGAAAGGAGATTTCGGCTCACAGGAAGTCTGCGACAGTTCTAAGGCAACACTGAAAAACTAGACAGACCTGCTTGTAAGGTGATCCTGGTCTGTCGGTGTGGCAGGAAAAATGAGCTCACCCCTTACTGAGACAATGACAAGGGGTTTGTGTTCTAACAAAACCAGCGGTGGACTAGTAGCCTCAGCAGGAGCCCAGCCGTAAATCAGGCCGAGTAGCCAGCCACACCCACACTCATCGAGCCAGGGATTCTAGAAGTTTACAGGTAGATAACCATTCCAATTTGTGGCCGCAGAAAATCAATGGACTAGGGAACAGATGTTCCTTACAGGGGAGAGACTCTGGCCTGTTGTACGGGTCAGGTCCTCCTCATTCCAACTGAACATGGAAGACAAGCTGTGTACGAGGGAGGGAGGTTTGTTTTGGCTCATGGCTTTGAAGAGCCAAAGTGCAAGTCTGGCAGGCCCCACTGGCTCCACAGTCTGGGTGGCAACGGTGGAGTGAGTGTCAATTGCATGGTAAGCCAGGAAGCAGAACAGAGCAGCCAGGCCTGCGCCCCAGAACTAACCTCCAAGGTGTTCCAGTGTCCTAAGGTCTTCTACCGCCCAGACAGCGCAATCTGGTTAAGTGACCACGCTTTCGGCACCGACACACTTAAGTGACCATATCTCAGCACAAACCATGCAAAACTTTTGGGGATTTAAACTGTAAACAACTACTTGAGTCTGTGAGTCATATCCTATTCAATCCTTAGAATTCCCTAATATGTCATTTCCAGTTTAGGTTTTTTTTTTTAAAAAAGATTTATTTATTTTTACTTGAAAGAGTTTCAGGGACGTACAGAGAGATGGAGTGAGATCTCCCACTAGCTGATTTACTCCCTAAATGTCCTCAACAGCTAATGGGGGCTGTTTCAGAGCCAGGGGCCAGGAAACACTTCCGGCTCTTCCATGTGGATGCAGGGCCCCAAGGCCTCAGGCCACCCTCTGCTGCTTTTCCAGGCTGTTGGCAGGGAAAGCAGAAGTGGAGCAGCTTGGACTCGAACCAGAGCCCGTATGGGATGGCGGCAGCACAGGTGGAGGGTTACCTTATGATGCCACCTGGACAGCATCTGCTTTCACTTTGTAATTTCCCACTTATTCACAGTACGTAAGCTCCTTTTATTATAATTTTTTGTTGCAGCTGGTCTATTTGTAGTTTTTATCACTAGGCTCTTATTCTAATCAGAAAGAAAGAGAACTGGATTCTGATAGTACCATAATTTGGGTAATCAGTAACTATGAGTGTCTAATAATTGTATTAACTAGAAACTGACTGCCAAGTGTGATGTTTGCAACACTGTAGTTAGTTAACAAAGGCATCTTGCAGATATTAAAATCCATATTTTACTAATATTGCCTGCTAAGACAGAAAATAGTTATTTCCCCAACTCTGCATAAACACTCAGACAGCAGAACTTGTACACTGTGTAACTGAATCCTTGCCTTCGGCAGAGTCAGGAAAACGGAGTGATAGCAGTAGCAAGGGCAAAGACAAACGTGGTCCTTTTAAAACTCGCTTTTCAAAGTGGCCACTAAGCAAAAGGATTATTATTATGATTTTACAATTTCTCTGGCATGGATATATACCTTTTTTCACCTAATTTTTAAAATCACACCTGGAATTACCAGATTATTCCAAAAACTACTTTTCTAAGTTAAATAAAAACTCAAAATGACGCATATTTTGAGTGCAGAATAAAATACATACTTACTTAAAAAAGGTACAAAGGGCCTGGAGCAATAGCTCAATTGTCTAGTCCCCCTCTTCAAATGCCAGGATCCTATATGGGTATATGGGTACCAGTTTGTGTCCCAGCTGCTCCACTTCCATCCAGCTCCCTGCTTGTGGCCCGGGAAAGCAAGCAGTTGAGCAGAGCCCAAAGTCTTGGGACCCTGCACCCGTGTGGGAGACCCAGAAGAAGCTCCTGGCTCCTGGCTTCAGATTGGCTCAGTTCCAGCCATTGTAGCCACTTGGGGAGTGAATTAGTGGGTGGAAGGTCTTTCTGTCTCTCCTTCTTTCTGTAAAACTGCCTTTCCAATAAAAGTAAATAAATCTTTAAAAAAAAAAGAAACGAAGGTATATAATGAGTTTTTATAGCAACACATTTTTCAAAGAATTAACTTATTTGAAAGGCAGAATTAAAGAAAAGTGAGGAAAAGACAGAGGTCTTATCCGCTGGTTCACTTCCCAAATGGCTATCAAAGCTAGGGCTGGCCTCGGCTGAAGCCAGGAGTCAATTCTTCTGGATCTCCCACATGAGCGCAGGGACCCAACCTCTGGGGCTATTCTTGCTGCTTTCCCAGGTGCATTCGCGGGGAGCTGGATGGGAAGTGGAACAGCCAGGACTCAAACCAGCACTCCTGGGATGCTGGTGCTGCAGGCATTCGCTTTATGTGCTATGCCACAACATCAGACCCAGCGATACATTTTTTATATTCTCCAATAACACAGAAATTCAATTACCTACTTTCATGAGGTGTGCAGAGATCAATATGCATGTCTAGCAAATTTTGCCACCATCCCCTGACTTTTCTTAAAACATGCTGTATGAAAGAATGACACCCCCAACCGAGGCCCAGCTCACTCATCCCAGCATGTGCTCACAGCCCAACATCCTTGAAGGTGAACTAGGATGTGCTATTCTCATTTCAATTAAACACCACCACCACACTGAGGAAGGCAGAAAAACAACCTCACACGAAGGAAGTCTTTGATCCCAATGCTTTTCTACCAGAAGACAGCAGAGCTTCCCTCCTAGGCTAGCTGGGAAAATGCCAGAAGCTTGGTGAATTATGTTCCTTCCTGGTAAACAAACGTTCTAATGCTGAACTTCTTACTCATACACAGAAACGCGTGGCTTGAAAGTCAGCATCTTCTCTTCAAGCACGCCTGAGTCTCTTACTTGTGCATAGTCTAGATGTTCACAGGCCGCAGGGATCGGGTTTAGATTCACAGAAGCTCATGTGAACTAAGCAGTTAGTGCTGCAATAAACACAAGCATGGCCTAAGTGGCAACCTAACTAGTATTCCCAGATGCAAAGGTAGTTCAGGGAGGAAGGAAGGAAGGCATCTGAAATAACATAGAGAAGAGACTTCAGCGGGTGTATTGAAGGATCTGGGGTTCTGCAAGTGGTCCAGGTATGGATTCCAACCCAGCACTGTGGCAGAGACAAAAAACAAACAAACAAACAAAAAGGATGAGAAGAAAGTAGGAGACAGCCCGGCAGCTCCTTGGGGATTACAGACCCTAGCTGGAAGGAGTGAGGAAAGGCTTGAATCACAAATGTGTGGGATGTTACAGAGCATGGGCGGTACTTACCAGTGATAGGGAGCTTCATGCGACAGAAAGCTAATTTTAAAGAAACTCACTGGGCACAAAGTGGAGGATAGGCTGGCAATGTGTAACGCTGAACTCCAGGGAAGAGGCTACTCTGAGACGTAAAAATGGCAGAGGCAAGAAGAGACACAAGTAGGATCAAAACGGAGTCAGGTAGAATGCTGATCTGAGAGTCACAAATTCCTTCCCAAACACGAACACACACGAGTCACTATGTACCCCCAAAGGCACACGCGCAGTGATGCAGCAAAGCACCCCAGTCAAAGCGGGTCTGAACCTGGCCTTGCTCTTCATACCTGTGTGGCTCTGGACAATGTACTCACCCCGCCTGGCGTCACCGTGACAATATGCACATCACCAGTTCTGCTCTCAGCTCTCAGGCTCTTGTCAGGAGAGAGGCAAAACAGAAAGTCCTATCTCAACACTTAACAAGGGCTCAGCAAAAAGTCATAGGAATAGGCCAATAAAAAAAGATTCAGAAGACGTAGAGAAAACACCTATCTGGCACTTATGTTAGCAGAGCCAAAGGAGTTATTTAGAAGGCTGTATCTCAAAGGTTCACGTATCGCTCTCATTCAATTAACAAGTCATGAACACTCTCCAGGAAGGATGTTTGGCTTGTACCAGAAATTCTCAGTACTGCACAGCCAACATCCATTTATCAGCTCTCAAGATCATCTAATGATGCCTGGATGGTTTCTATGGCATTAAGATCACAGAGCGTTCTTTAGCTTTCCCTGCTTACTGGCTGCGCAAGCGGAAAGGCAGTGTGAATGGGCGGACTATTCCCGTGAAACACACACACACACACACACACACACACACACACACCCCTTTCCTCCCACGGCTTCAGTTGTGGGGCCTAATGCCAATCACTCGATTCTGCTGAGCAGCTCCTGTCTGCCTCTCTAGTTTGGCAGCGATGTTCACCTTGCCTATTTTCATAAAGCAAATATTAGGCTCTAAATGTGGCTTGGTCTTCAGTTTTTTATGGTTATCTTTCACATGTTGGTAGATGGAAAAACAAAATCTATAACCTCAGTGGGGTATGATTCTCCATGCTCGAACCCCAAAAGCTTCTCAATAAATGCTGGCTGAATCAAGGAGACTCAGCTGCTGTACGCGCTGTAATATGAGCCATGCATATGGAAGGACACACAGCACACGGGCTGAAGGGCAGCTAGGTTACCTTTCCTGAGAGCCTGGCACAGTAGCCTAGCGGCAAAAGTCCTCACCTCAGACGCACCGCTTCGTGTCCCAGAGGCCCCATTTCCCATCTAGCTCCCTGCTTGTGACTTGGGAAAGCAGCTGAGGACAGCCCAACGCCTTGGGACCCTGCACCCGTGTAGGAGACCTGGAAGAGGCTCCAGGCTCCTGGCTTTGGATTGGTGCAGTTCTGGTCATTGTGGCTGCTTGGGGAGAGAATCAATGGACGGAAGATCTTTCTCTCTGTCTCTCCTCCTCTCTGGATATCTGACTTTCCAATAAAAATAAAATAAATAAAAATACACCCAGACAGAGAGCTCAGCTGTGACATCATATGAACACATGTTCTAGGAAATGATGAAAACTGATATGGAGCAAATGAAGGAAGGTAAAAGTATAAAATACCCTCAATGAAAAGTGAGATTTACACAGTATTTCTTTTTAAACTTAACTATTTATCAGAACACAGTCAACGCTTAATACTAATTTCAAACAAAATTGCATGTAATAAAAAGTATTACCTTCTGGGAGTCTCCATTTTCTCAACTGTCAAACTGAGTTTTACTGTCCAAGGAACGCGGGACCCTGAGCGCTCTGTGGTAACTGTTTCAGAATGACGTGCATCACTGGAGACCCTGAGCATTCTTACTCAAGTCTCCATAAGGCAACACTCTGACAGCTGTGCCCAGCCGCACCGCGGCACCTGCCACCTGCGCAGGGTCACAGGGTGAGAGCTCGGGGTGACGGCAGGGAGGCCGGGTCACGCTCAAACATGAACTTCACCGTGTTCTTCTCCACCGTGAAACGATTTATTTAAACAAAACTAGCCCCCTTTCTCTACGCTTCAAGGAAATACTGCTGAAACTACTGTTCTAATTCTGTCTGAGCACTGGGGAGAAAATTATTTATTTGTTTAAATCAGCATTTGAACAGAAATATGAAGTACACAATGAAAACATGTATCCAGCCATTCTTTTTCTCATTTTTTACAGTTTGAGGGAAGGGGAGCTAGGGAAATGGTCCTAAACGGGGAGGGAAAGATGGGATTGTTTTACACCATTTGCTTAAGTTGACCCTTTGTATTGGGAAACTGTGTGACTCTCAATTTCACTTTCTTTGCATGGATCTAGCTGATTGCTTAGTAAATGATAAAAATAAATGGATGAGCTTTCTGTTGGTTTCCTTTGGAATGTTTTGAACACTTGAAACGTCACATACACTGTCAAATTGTAATGCTTGATTATGGTGAATTTATGCAGAATTTTCATGCATTTAATCTGTCAACAAACTGTTAAAATCATTTAGTAAAAGGCACATAGAATTTCTAAATAAAAATATTGAGGGGCGGGAAAGAGAGACCAATGCTGTGGCATCGAGGGCAAAGTCACTATATGCAGTGTCAGCATCCCCCAGGAGTGCCGGTTCTACTTCTGATCCAACTCCCTGCTAACGAGCCCGGAGAAGCAGCAGCAGATGTCCCAAGTCCTCGGGCCCCTGCACCTGCCTGGGAGACTGGGATGAAGCTCGTTGCCTCCTGGAGCTGGCCTGGCCCAGCGCTGGGTTTCACACCCATTTGAGGACTCATCAGTGTATGGAAGATCTCTCTGTGGGTGATTCTCCCTCCCTATTAACTCTGCCTTTCAAATAAATCTTTACAACATACATGAAGCAAAAACTTCAGAACTGTTCCTTTCATAAGAAGGAATTCCTGCACGGCTGCGGCGGTAAGGATGTTCCTTTAGAGCCGGTGACTCAGAGGAACAGGCCGCCCAGCGCTTCCGGTCGGGCTGCACGGTGCTGCGCACCCACCCTCACCTGTGATCTGCTTCTTGGTCTCCAGGTCTCGGGTTTGCTTCAGCACCTGCAGCAGCCGAGGCACCCCGTTGAGTTCTGCTACCTCCAACTTGTTGTCGTTGTCTTCAAACACCAGATTTCTCAAGGCGCCGCACACGGCTCGCTGCAGGTCCTCATTCTGAACTTTGAGCAGCTGCAGCAGCTTGGGGATACCGCGAAGCTGATTAACCTGCGGGGGAAGCAGACGCACATTCCAGCTGTGCACCACCACACTCAGCATCGCACATCAGCTGAGCCCGTGGACACTGACCTGCCAGCACCTCCATCAAGGTGGCGCGGCCTGGGTCCCACATCATACTGCAGCCATACCCAAAGTCTAAGGCAGTGACTAGCGGCAGTTTACAAAAAATGTCGAAAGTTCAGACTGAAATGTGTGAAACACCTGAAGGGAAGGTTAAGTGGTAAACCAGCCAGTTCAGTCACAGAGCTGAATTCGGAGAGAACTGGGCACCCAGGGAGCAAGAAAAGCCACATGAGAGACAAATTCCAGGAGTGGCTTTTTGGTACAAAACTTTGCCTATGGATATAAATCGCTTTCATCAATATTAGAAGCCAAAAATTGATTTACTATGGCAACCATGGTGGCAAACTAGCCCTAAATACAAGCTATTCTAAATGCCAACTGCTTTGAATATTTCAAAAGATTGACATAAATTATGCATGTATTTTAAGTAAATGTTAGGATTTTTTTAAAAAAAATCATGAAAAAACTTCTCCACTAAAAAATAAATAGTAATTTTGGATGTTTTCATTATGAAGAAAGATACCTTGATTGGATGTTACACATTTTTCATATGTATTAAAATATCACATACTATCCCATAAGTATGTCTTAATTTTTATGTCTTAAAATTTTTACTAACTAAATTTTCTAAAGAAAAATGGAATTAAAAAATTATTGTGGTACAAAAAATTGGGACAGTTTTTTCATAATGTGCATTTTTTACAAACTTATAAGATCTCTTGTAAGCATGGATCTTAAAATACGTTTTGCACTTAAGTCAATGTCTTTCCTTGTTTCTTAATATTTTTAATAATGAATTTGAGCTTAGTTTTGTAACAAGGCTTTAAAAACATTTCTGCAAATCATGACTTTGGTGGAAATATGTGAAGTAGGAACAGAAACAAGACCATCTGAAAAAAAAAAAAAAAAACTTACAGATTGAATTAACCAGATTTGGCTTTTGTCCAATGGGCAAGGAAAACCATGCCTGAAAAGGTCTCCGTGGCTGCCTGAGGAGACTGAATCAGGAATGGATAAGAAGAAAGGCAGGGACATTTTTTAAGATTTATTTTTATTATTTTATTTTTATTGGAAAGGCGGATATACAGAGAGGAGAGACAGAGAAGATCTTCCGGCCGATGATTCACTCCCCAAGTGAGCGCAACGGCCGATGCTATGCCGATCCGAAGCCAGGAGCCTCTTCCGGGTCTCCCACATGGGTGCAGGGTCCCAAAGCTTTGGGCCGTCCTCCACTGCTTTCCCAGGCCACAGGCAGGGCGACCATATGGGATCCCGGGCGTGCAAGGCGAGGACCTTAACCACTTGCGCCACCGCGCCGGGCCCGTGAAAGCAGGGAAATTAATCAGGAACCAGCTGCATTTACATATGGTGGTGACGGGGACCAGGACAGCAGCACCGAGCAGCTAGGGAGAGAAGCAGGTAAACCCAGGACACTTTCAGGAACAGCATCAGTTGGATCCGAAGACTGAGAGAACACAGGGGAAAACCACGTGTCTCTGACATCCAGGTAGTGGTGACTCCCCAGTGCCTCGACCTTGCACAGCGGGGGGAGCCACACGCCCTCAGGGAGCCTCTGGGGAGCAGGTCTACAACCACCCGACTGCGCTCACAGCCACGGCAGCTACCATGTCCCCTCCATCAGTAGGAAAGCCGAGCTTCCGAGAAAGCAAACACCTACTCCGGGGCTGGGATTGCAACCCCAGCGCCTGGTGACTCAGTCCACCAGGGTCCTGCTTCCCAACCAGCAGGAAGGACACGCTGAGAAGGGCAAGTTGGAGAGAAGGAAAGCAGCAAATCGCGTGCTCATTGTCGAAGAAAGTGATGTTGAACCCCCGGTGGGCTTCCGGTCAGCTGAAGGGCGTGTGCTGTGGAATCCGGGCAAGACCCAGGGGCTGGCGAGGGTGAGTCACCAGAATCCAAACCGTCACAGCACCAGACGGCAGGAAGAGGTCAGGGGGTCGTGTACAACAAGAAAAGCCCGAAAGAAGCAGCTCATGAATGGTATTTCAGAAGCAGAAAATAGAGGGAAAGTGGAGGAACCTGGGAGACTAGGGGACAAAGTGTTTCAAAAAGAACAAAGCACATCGTGTCAAATGTGAAGCGTCTTAAGTAAAACGCAGACTGAAAAGGTGACAGTATACCTTAAAAACTACTGATTTAAAATTTCGTTCTACATCCATGTCATAATCATTGTTCAGATAGATTCAAAACTACAGACTCGTGCTTACTATTGACAGGAACTTGTTAATGCTCTTTGTGCCAATTTCATGGTATTGGATTTTTTCCTGCCAAGCATGTTCACTGTCAGCTTTGAATACAGTTTCCACGCTTCACTATTCTCAAAACCAGTCATTGTTCTAGCTTTGCATGTGAAAAAATTCAATCCTATGTGCAAGCAAAATATTTATAATCATATTAGTAATTCAGGAGATGGCAGAAATCTGGCCCAGCCGAGGCAACAAAAGAAAAATTGATGTAATTTCACATTGCAAAGTGAAAGCTCATATTATAATGCCTGGATTTTTAAACCTGGGAACAAAAAAAGGTTTACATTCATGTGATTTCCATAAAAAGATCAACTTCTAGCCCACATATCTTTACTTATATCTATCTATATATATATAAAAGCAATCACTAGCTACCTACTTTTAAAAATACTTATTCATGCTTCCCTTGGAACAAACAGCAAAAATAATCAGATGTGACAATAGACATTTGTAAGCAACTCAAAGGTCACCAAATAGATAAACTTGACTTCGTAAAGGTTTCTAAATCTTGAGTGATGACAGATACTAAAGTCAGGTTAAAAAAAAAATCAAGTAGGAAAACACACGTGCCTCATACGAAGGCAGTTCAGCAAGTTCACGCTGGCGGGTGGTGCTGGGTGAAGCCTGTGGCACTGGCATCTCACACTGGAGTGCCAGCTCAAGGTTCAGCATCTCCGTCTCCCATCTGGCTTCCTGGGGACCCACGTGGGAAGGCAGCAGAGGATGGCCCGAGTGCTTTGGCCCCTGCCAACCACGTGCGAGACCTGCACAGTGTTTCCAGCTCCTGCCTTCAGACTGGCCCTGTCTTGGCTGTCGCAGCCAAATGGAAGATCAATACTTGTTTATCCTTTCCCTGTCACTTTGTTTTTACAATAAATAGTAATGTTTTTTTTTTAAAGATACAAGTATGGATTTAAAAAATTTTTAAAGTTCACAGAAAAATTAAATAGAAAATTTATCGTGGCATAAAAACTTGGGAAATTCATGTATAGCTTTTTCATCACAAAGATTTTCAATTTACTTTTGGAAGGGCCTCACAGATAACCATGGATTAATGTACAATCGTGGGTAAAGAACCTCTACAAGTCATTTAAGGAGACACAAATCTTAGGAAAAAATAAGCAATGGATTAAAAAAAAATGACAAGTGACTGAAGAAATACAAGGTAAAAAAATACACAAAAGGTTCTCAATTTTGATAAATTCACAAAATCAAGTGAAAATACCAGCATTAGGTACTCTGACCTCTGTTTATCTCATTTTCAGGACTAACCACATTCCTCTCCCCTCAGGAAACTTCCATTCCAGTGCACCATCACAACCAGGAGGCTGCTGGGATATTGGGAAAAAGATTTGGTTCACATCTGTGTCCCTGTTGGTTAGCATAAAACTCCTAAAATCCCGCAGTCTCTGAGCTATTTGTGTCCTGAAGAGAGCTGCCTGATGGGTTGGCCACCCCTAAACATCCAAGACTAGACTGGAGGGGTGGGACTGTGAGTCCCACTCCACTACCTCCAGGGAGAGTGGGAGCACTGAATACTAAGCTTACTGTCATTGGCCAAGAAGTTAATCCATGAAAACCCAGAAAGGGTATTTGGCCTTGTGATTCAGCTGCACGTTGGGAATCCATAATGGAGTGCCTGGGTTTGAGCTCCTGCCCCTCTTCCAATTCCAGCTTTCCATTAGAGCAACAGCCAGCAGACTGACTCAGGCACTTGGGACCCTGCCACCTGTGTGGGAGATCTGGATTGAGTTCCCACTTGTAACTTTGGTTTTGGCCCAGCCCTAGCCATTGCAGGTGAAATGTGTAAAGCAATGGCTGAGAGCTAGTATGTACTCCTCTCTCCTGGCTACCCACCACCTCACAACCTACTAACCAGCCAGAAGTTCTAGAGAAATGAGTTCAGAGAGCTCTGGACAACTGAACATGCTGAGCTTGCTGTGCCCAGAGAGGACACAGGAACTCCCTGCCCTTCCCATACACCTCGCCCTTTGCATCTCTTCACATGTAGCCTCAGCACCTGTGGGTGAACAACCAGGCACACTAACCAAACAGAAGAAGAGGACTGTGGAACTCCTGGTTATTGCCAATGAATGGGTCAGAGGCTCAGTAAGACACCCTGGGGCGTCCACCAATGAGCTCTGACACTGGCTCCAGGTGGGTGGCTGAGAAGGGAATCCATGCAGTGGACACTCCAGACAGAGGGTGCCTCGGTAGCGTCTGCTGTAGAACTACTCCTTTCCTTGCATGTAGGTGGAAATTCCCACACCTTCTCAGTCACAGGTACTTTCAGTGCTGACTGGTAGGACAGGACATAACAACAGTTATTTTTTTTCTACAGAGTTATTCCCTGTGGCCTTTGATCCTTTTATGCAGGCTGGGTTTACTACCAGTAACTCAGGTCTGCTTTCCAATGTCTTTTTGTTGGCTGCACATGAATTGTAATTATGCAATTTATTTACCTCTCCTGTAAGTGGATGAAACATAAATAAGGAAAGAGTTTTGTTTCTCTGAAAACTAATATGAATGTTTTGAAAATACCAGATAAAAGTGAAGAGGTAAAAGCTCTGTAAGTAGCTGGGTCCGTGGTGAAGCAGGTCAGACCACTTATGGCGTGCCTGCATCTTGTATCTGAGTGCTGGTTCAAGCCCCGGCTATGTGGTGGTTCCAATCCAACTTCCTGCTAACATACTTGGAAGGCAGTCACATACATGGGTCACCGCCACCCCGATTTCCTGGCTTAAGCCTGGTGCAGCCCTGGTTGTTGCAAACATCTGGGTAGTGAACCAAATGATGGAAGATATGAAAAACCAATCTTTCATGTGCCTTTCAAATGAATAACAAATCATTTAAAAAGAAAAACACTGTATTTAATTTTGGATGCAATTAATGAAAGAGACGAGGGAAAATACAAATGTCATTAACTTTCCCCTCTACTTCAAAGAAACTACTTCAGTGTCTTTGACATCTTCAGGTGCACCAGCAGGAAGCTGAGTCAGGAAGCCTGGATGTAAGCCAGGATCCCAGTCAGCCCTCTGATACGTGATGCTGGTATCCCAACAATTAGCTTAGCCAGCTATGCCAAAGGCCTGCCCCAGAGAGGACATCTTCAGAAGAACCAAGGGAGAAATGGATTTTGTACAGCAGAGATAAGGATGGTTAAGAGAGCTCTTGTAGAGCAACAACTTTTACATATTGGTGCTTACAATTTGTCAATTTTGGATTTGATAGAGAGTGAAAATGCCTTCCAAAGGCAAGCCTAAGTGGAGGGCATTTGGTGCAGCCACTAAAAACACAAGAGAAGCCTGCATCCCACGGCCAGAGTGTCTGGGGTCAAGTGCTCTCTCTCTTCTGATTCCAGCTTTCTGCTAACGTGCAGGAAACACACGCTGGCTCGAGGAACGTGCTTCTGCATCGTGTGTGGACAACCTGGACTGAGTTCCCCACCGCCTGGCTCTGGCTCTTGGGCACATTTGGGGAATAAATCAGTGGGTGGGAGATAGATCTCTCTCTCTCTTTCTTCAACTAAATACTCAAAAAAAAAAAAGAAAAACCCACAGGTAAAACATTTTCAGAGACAAAAAGTCTGCAATCATTCATCATTAGCAGACTTGCATTGAAATAGATGATACATAAAAATTCTTCAAATAAAGGAAAACGATAATAGGACTTATCTGCACAAAGAAATGAAGAGCATTACAACAACTTAGATGAAACGGACAGATCTTTGGAATGACACGAATGACCAAAGATCGCTAAAGAAGAAGCATCCAGGTATCTCCATATCAATGGAAAACAAACAAAAAACAAAATGGAATTTGCAGTGAATAACTTTCTCACAAAGAAAACTTCCAGCCCAGATGGCTTTACTAGCATATTCAACTAAACATTTAAGGAACAAGTGATTGCAATTCTAACCAAACTCCTCAGAAGTGAAGAAGAGGGGATGCCCTACAGTTCCTCTTTGAGTTCAGTATTACTCTCAATTGAAAACGACACCAAAATATTACAAGAAAATTATCAAGCCTATCTTTCATAAATATTGGTATAAAATTTCTCCTGCTTAAGAAGTATTTATTTATTTCAATGTCAAAGTTACAGAGACAGAGAGTGAGAGCAAACCACACAGAGAGGCTTCCTAGGCTGGTTCACTCCCCAGATGGCCACAGCAGCCGGGCTGGGCCTGGCCGAAGCCAGCAGCCCGCAGTTCCATCGGGGACATGTGCATGGATGGCAGGGACCAAGCACCAGGGCCATCAGCAGGAAGCTGGATCAAAAGTGGAACTCTAGGATTTGGACTGGTTACAGGCTGTGGCTGAATCTGCCGTACCACAGTGCTAGCCCCAAAACTGCCTAATAAAATTTTAGCAAATCGAACTCAAAAAACACACAAAGTTACAGTACCTCCCAATCAAGTAGGGTTAATCACAGGAACAAGGTAATATTTTAAAAATCAATCAAGGTACCACCAGCTGATTGGGGCAATGGACTGTGCCGGACCCTATGCTACTAGAACATGCAGGAATCTGGACTGAGAATACCTCAAAATTTCTTCGAGGATCTCCCCATTCGAGACACCGGACTCAGAGTCCTAACCAAGGAAAGACAGAACAAGTCAAGCAACAACCTCAGCTCTCTGTTGGCAGCAAAATACTGGGCAAATGGAGACTCTAGAAGGGACTGTGTCAATCAATGGACTCTTCAACGACCACATCGTGCTTGGAGTGGCGAGACTGGCAGCGACCCATGAATGGTGAACTATTGGAACCACTTGATCGAGTATCTCAGAGCATGCCCCAATCCGGGACTTAGGGTGGGTGGGAAACTGGGTGAGGCTTCTCCCTCTATATCCCCATTTAGGCCTTGAACCTTTTTTACCCCAATTAAATTTGTAAGGATTGTCAAAAAAAAAAAAAATTAATTAAAAAAAATCAATCAAGGCAATTTATCATAATAGTAACATTCCAATAAAATGCCATTGAAAAGCATGTGGTAAGTTCCAATATTCACTAATGATCTTAAAAAGCTTCAGGCAGGCATTTGGCCTAGTGGTTAGGCCAGCAGCACAGCCGGGACATCTGCATCGTACACCCAAGCGCCAGAGTTTGAATCCTGGCCCTTCTCAGGGTTCCAGCTTCCTGCCAGTGCAGATCCTGTGAGGCAGCAGGCAAGAGGAGTGAGTTCTGGTCTGGTCAGTCACCTGGGAAACGCGAGTTCTCAGTTCTCAGCGTCAGTCCAAGTGCTGCAGGCAAGGAAAGCGCATGCCAAGCAGGGTCAGGGTGTGCCTGCGCACCCTCTCTGCCTCTAAAGAAATGATATGTAAGCTTTTATTTTTTAATTGCAATGTCCATAAAAGTAGGAGGCAAGTTCTTCATTTTGATGTGGTCATTATGGAAAACCACACAAGTAGCTATCACAATTAATGATGAAAAGATGGCTATTTTCTTCCGAGATCAGCAACAGAGTAACATGCCCGCTCTACTTTACTGATAAGGCTGTCATCATCACAAACAAAACAAAAAAACAAACCAACATGTCTAAGGAACTGGAACTCTATATATTGCTGGTAGAAGTGTCAGATGGCACAATTCCTTTGTAAGACAGTTTGGCAGTCTTTTAAAATGTCAAACATAGAGTTAGTATGGTGGTATAGTAAGCTAATCCTCTGCTTGTGGCACTGGCATCACTTATGGACACTGGTTCAAGTCCCAGCTGCTCTATTTCTGATACAGCTCCCTGCTAATATGCCGAGGGAAGTAGTGAGACATGGCTCAGGTGCTTTGCCGTTTGCATCCATGTGGGAGACCTGGAAGAAGCTTTGGCTTCCGGCTTCAGCTCTGGACGTTGTGGCCATTTGGGGAGCAAACAGGTAAAAGATCTCTCTTGTTCCTTCTCTTTGTAAATCTGCTTTTCAAATAAAAATAAATGAATTTTTTTAAAGGGTTAGATACATAATCTACTATGTCACCTAGGCACGGTACTCCTGGTAGCAGCAGAGGCTCAGGTTCCTGGGTTCCTGCCACCTGTGTGGCAAACCTGGATTCCACTTCAGGCCTCTGGCTTCTTCTGCAGCCACTGCACACAGCTGGGGAGGGAGCCGCTGGACGGCCCAGCGCCGCCTGTCTGGTTCTCAAATAAACCAATAACTACAAAGAAGATTCTTAAAAACTGATTAAAATGTATCTCAACTAAGTTGTTAAATATGAATTACCAAAAATGGCCACATTTAGACAATTCTTGCAACCAGTGCAATAGTTTTAAAGAATGAGGTAGGGCTAAGATACACGAAAGACTTCCAAAATAGAGTGGTAAATTTAAAAAATAGGTACTATGATATTCTTTGTCATTTAAACAAAAAGAGGATATTGAACTACTTGTTCCAACAACTATTTCTGTGGACAGAAAATATTTCTGGAAAGATACCCAAAGTGTGGCGGGGGGAGGGTTCAGGTGCAGAGTGTAGTTTAGAGTGAGAGGGAGTGACCTGTCACTGAATATCTTTTTGAACTATAGTTGATTCTGCCCTCCCCCCCCAACCAAATGTATCACTTTTTAGAGCAAATATCTCATCATCTCTTCCTCAGCCTCTGTGGAGGTGCCCTACAGGGAGGCCTGCAGAGGCATCCAGAGGTGACTGTACACACCCACAGCTATGCAGCAAACAACTGCCATGATAAGCAATAGTTCAATAAACACGAGTTGTAAAGCAATGGTTGTTTAATGTGTTTTTTTTTTTTTTTGAAATATAGAAACCTATCGCCCAAGATAGCTCTGTTTCTCTCTCAGAAAAATCTCCAATTACACAGTGCTGACAGCAAGTGACTCTGCAGATGGTTCTAAATGGGGAACTGGAGAGAGAGGCTAAGGGGGAGGTTTGTATAGTACTTTATTTTTAAATTTCTAATTTACTGGGAATGCTTTTTTTGTAATGACTATTTTCTTTTACACTGAGGAACCTCAATGGAGATTTTGAAAGGCTTATACAGGGGCTGGCACTGTGGAAAAGTACGTGAGGCTGTTTCTTGAAACACCAGCATTCCACATCAAGAGAACCGGTTTGAGACCAAGTGGGAGACCCAGACGCAGTGGGGTCTCCAGACCCTGGCTCCAACCTCAGCCAGCCCTGGCAGTTGGGGCCACTCGAGTGAATCAGAGGATGGAAAACTCATCTCTCCCTCTGCCACTTTTTCAAATCAACCGATCAATCAATCTTGATAAACACGAGTGTAAATGATTAGCTTCGGGTCAGGGTCACGCCCACGGACCTGACCCTGCACTGGGTTTCGAGTGGCCTGAAGATGACACTCACCCTTTTCCGTGCTTCGGACTTCTGGAAGCACTCGTGCTGGATGAACGTGGCGGCGGCAGGGATCCTGGGCAGCGGCGTGTGGTCTGCATCCAGCATGCTCACGGCTCGCTCCAGGGTCATCTCCAGATCCGCATTCCTAGACAGACGGCACAGAGTCAGCAGGACTCGGACACTTACCCCTCATCCTCCAGAGAGGACTCAGTTAACCCCGGGAAGCACCTGGAACTCCAAGGCGTCAGCTTTTCTTCAGCCAAAAGAAAAGTCAAGAGCCGGGACTAGAAGGCGTAGAGCTAGCTGGAGACTAGTCCTTGGAGACAACACTGCATCAAACAGAAGCAGAGCGTATATCCAGGAAAGAAACTAGAGTGTTTTTTTGTTTTTCTAAAAATATACAGCATTATTACTGTTCCTTAAAATGTGACTCTGAAGGCACAGTAAGACTTTTTAGGTAGGGTTTAAGGTAAATTTATTCACAGAAATGAAGTTTTTTTATTCTCACCCTGATAACTTTACACACAGAGAACATATTTCCCCTTTAAAGCCATCAGATTGTTTTCAGAGGTACCCAGAATCCTATTTCACTTGAAAACGAGTTTAAAAATAGAAACATTCAAAAATATATTTATTTGTTGCATGGAATAGTGTAGCAATGAAATCTAGAAGAACTGAATTTTGTTTTATTCAAAGAAGTCACGCTGCAGTGATGACATCAGGGATGGTAACAATTACAGGCAATCATGTGTTTTCCTGAAGAAAGCAGTCTCATGCACGTTCTGTCACCACTTGCTCTGCTGTTGCAACAGCACTCACTTCTCATCTCTCCCAGGAGCGCACACCGATTCCTGGTGACGACGGAGTCCGTGCAGCCGGGACAGAGGGCAGACAGTAGTGACCGCCAAATGCCTCCGCTCCTCTTCCTGCCTGAGGGATGGCGAGCCCGGGCAGCTCGTTATCCACGCGGGTGCTGGTGCGCTCGTGCCGTGGTTAGCCTGCCTTGTAGAAGCCTCACTCAGCACGGACATCTCCGAGTCACAGTTAAGACTCATGTGAGACGTCATCTGGGAAGCTACTTGCATAGACGGTTCACCTGACTCCTTGCAGGTGACGGACTGGTGAGCTCCCAGGACCGGCCTCTCCAGGATGTGCCGGCAAGAACACGGGCAAATTCTCTCCTCAGGCTGTCCCAACAGGACTGCAAATGTGCACAGATGTGAGTGTGCTTGGGGGTGCTGCATGAGGGCACCCCAATGGCCTCTTGACTGAAAAACAATCTCGCTGCTTCTGAAACACACCTTCCAACATACAACCGTGACCTATGAGCATGAAGGGGGCAGAACATTTCTGGTATCTATTCTGAAAAATACAAAATGATCTCATATTTTAAAATATGGTGGTCCAAGATTCAAACTTAACTGGTTCAGAAAAAGTAGATTTAGCATTGAAGCTAGCATGGAGCCACTTCTACTTCATATAAACACTTTTAAGCCTTTTAAAGAGATGTAAATAATTTTATGTTCATAGACTCATGTTTTTACAAAGTAAGTCAAACTCTGAAAGTCTCAATCTCAACAGCAATTTGAAATATTTACCACTCATCCTTGTAGGTGTTTAACAGCTAAAAGAAGAGCGTTCTGTTTAAGGCTTTTGTTTTTTTTTAAGATTCAGTCATTAATCAATCACAAAAGCCATAAATGACTCAGGAAAGCTTGAATTTCCCATCTCTTCCACCCACAAATAATTCCATTACTCTAACCCTTTATTTGCCTGAACATGATTTACTAAGAAGCCTGCATTCACTCCGGGTCAACACAATGGAGACAGCTCCCTAGCTACACAACAACTTCCTCAAGTTCTTCTTTCTTTTTTTCTTTTTTATTTTATTTTTTTCTATTTTTTCTATTTCTATTTATTTTATTTTATTTTTTTCTATTTTTCTATTTTTTTCTTTTTTCTTTTATTTTTTTAAGATTTATTTTATTTATTTTCATTGGAAAGTTAGATATACAGAGAAGAGGAGAGAGAGAAAGAGGGAGAGAAATATCTTCCATCTGTTGATTTATTCCCCAAGTGGCTGCCATGGCCAGAGCTGCGCTGATCTAAAGCCAAAAGCCAGGAACCTCTTCCGGTTCTCCCACGCAGGTGCAGGGGCCCAAGGCTTTGGGCCATCTTCTACTGCTTTCCCAGGCCACAAGCAGGAAGCTGGATGGGAAGTGAGGCCGCTGAGAGTAGAACCAGAGCCCAAATGAGATCCCGGAGCGTGCAAAGCGAGGATCTCAGCCACTAGGCTGCTGCACCAGGCCCTCAACAAGGTTTTCTATGATGCCACAGCATCACTGGCACCCAAACTCCCTAACGTGTTTTTTGTCATCACTGTGACCCCAATCTGTCTCCTCTTCCTGTCATGCTCAGCCCTCTTTCTTCCCACTTCTCTGATCCACTGCCCACCCTCTAACCACACCGGACTTTCAGTTTTTCTCCAAACTGCCTCCTTCTTCAGAAACCACCTACTTTGGCTCTTCCCAGGAAGTTTTCCCTTCTAGACTCAAGTCATCTTTGTATTTTCTGTGCCTCTTTCCCCAGGTAAGTCTCAACTCCCCAAGAATATTTTCTCCTTACCCTTTCTCTCTCTTTCTTCCTTCCCTCTCTTCTGACTCGCTTATGAAACACTCAGTGAAGCCTACAGAAACACGGCCTGAGAGATGGGCTTGGGGCAGGAGTGGGGGATCCAGAAGAGCCGTTGTTCCTTGCACCCTGGATCTGCTGAATATACTCTCCAACAGGGTCTTTTGACAACTTTAGTTAGTGGTAAACGATGCCGGTATGAAGGAAAAACTCAAGAGGAAGCAAAGTAAAATACCATTGATTAGAATATGAGATTCTAATTCCAGAGAAATATTAAAAACAGTGATTCATGCATGTGTGCAGTTTCCCGATAATCAGCATTTCTGTCAACCAACCAGCTGAGCTGTGCCCAGGCTGGCCCCCTGACATTAGAATGTGGCTGCACTGTATCCTACAGGCAGGCCAAGCCACCATCAGGGGACAGCCCTGCCAGTGTGTCGGAGGCTCGGGACATGCAAATCCCCACGCCAAAGACAGTAAAGTGGGATGAAAGCACTGGCTCCGGACGGGTGTGTATCTACAGACACAAAGCCAGGCCTGAAGGTGCTGTGAGTCTTAGATGAGGCCACAAAGCTTTAAACTGGGGCGTTAAAAATGGAAACGGCAAGGAAGGTAGAGTTGAAACAGACTTGAAAGCAAAGAACTAAGGCAGTCGGTGATGAAGAGGATGTGAAGGCAGCTGAGCCTCTCTTCTGCTCTGTACTAAGATGTAACCTGAACAGTGACCTTGCGGAAGACCCACTGTCCCCACGCCAACCAAGCCCAGAACACACGGGTCAGTGCCCTGCAGCACGAAGCTCATCGCCAAGCACTCCGTTTTCTTTCTCTTTGATCCTCTCTCGATCTTCCTGTATCCCACTTGACTTCTGTCTCCATGGTGCTTACTGCCAGAGCTGACAACCCAATAGTCTTTGGCTGGCTCGTCAGTCCCCAAGAGCAGCAGGAATTCTATTTTCAGAAAAATCAATCTAGAATTGTAACTTGGTGATTTATTTCTGAATTGCCTAACGTTTACAAAATTTATTCAAGAGGCAGAACAATTGCCACCTGCTGGTTTTATCACCAAGCACTTACAGAGGCCAGGACCGGTTAGAAGCTGGGAGGTGGACACTCAGTGCAGTCTCCTCTGTGGACAGCAGGAATCCAGCTACTTGGGCCATGAATGCTTCCATCCAGTGCAAGCAGTAGCAGAAAGCTGGAGTCCGGCACAGGAATTATGTATCAAATCCAGGTGCTCCAACAGAGGAGGTGGGTGCCTGAAGCACTAGGTTAAGTGCTGGGTCTACTTAGTGCTTTCTTAAACTGTTTTTTCTTTGAACCAGTCTGATTTAGACTAGTTCATGACTGTGTCTTTTAATTCCAATGTCTCAGTTTCCAGCTGCATTAGTAGCTGGCTTGCATCTGTACATGTTACCCCATTACACAGACTTGTGGGTACATCTTCCTGCAGTGTTAGCATATCCCACATCACAAGAGAAAAGTGCATTACGTGGGGATTTATAAAGCCTGAGAGTAGCTGGCGATAGTCTGACAAGTGGGACAACTGAAGTCAAGGCCAGAGCGTGCAGTGCTGGGGTGGACACCTCAAGGGCAGCCCGGGAAACTGACAAAAGCCATGGAAACCCAAAGGAAAAGGGAGGCAGGCAGCAGGGGTAGCACCTTGGTCATTGCAGGAAATACCTCTGCCTTGTTCTTCTTCCTTTTCATGGGGAGTAAAGCCCCTCGAAAATCAGAGAACACAACTGATTGCTGGGGTGGGTATTTAGCAGAGCTGTTAAGACGCCACGTGGAATGCCCACCTGCCAACCTGGCGTGGCTCTGTGCCCACAGAGGCAGCAGGTGGCGGCTCCAGCACTGGCATCCCTGTCACTGTCCTGGCGGATGCGGATTTTCAGACTCTGGGCTTCAGCCTGGCCCAGCTCTGGCTGTGGTGGGCATTTGGGAGGGAGTCAGTGGACAGCACAAGGCACTTGCTTGCTTTCTCCCTTGCGAATAAAAGTGAAAAAGATTTAAAATAATTAATTTCTACGCTTTTTAGTTTCTAGAACTGGGGAAATCTCAGGAAGATATTTTTTTTGCCTTTTGCTTTAATTTCTGGATCACAAGTATTCTTTGTTCTTTGAAATAAAATCAAATATAATAATAATTTATCATCTAGGTAATGATCTGAAACAGTATGGTGAATAATTTTTCAATAGTTTGAGCAACAAAAATACTTAGACGACAAGAAGTAGAGTTCACACTTTCTTCTTCATGCTTTCACCACAGTGCCAGGCACGGCCTTCCCTATGTGACCGAGCGTTGAGACCGTTAACACAGGCAAGATGCTCCAATAGAAGCTCAAAAGCAGCTCACTGCTGTGCTCAGTAGGTTAAGCCACCACATGCAGCGACAGCACCCAGCTCCTCCACTGGGGACCCAGCTCCCCGGGGATGCACCTGGGAAAGCAGCAGACGATGGCCCAATTTGCTTAGGCAAAACGCAGACGCAGAGCTGTGCACGTAAAAGGCGATGGAAAGACAGCAAACACCACAGATCACTGGTAGCTGCAACCAGCAAGCACATACTGAACGCCCTGCCCGAAGGGGATCAGATCACGACTTCCTGACTCACCGATCTTATCACCCATCCTTTTCTCTACTCCGTTCTCAGTCACTTCCTCGGTTTACAAATCTGTGCCTCAACTTTCACCAAAAAGCGATCTGCCCAGCCATAAAGAAAACAGGAACACGGGGGAAGCAACGACCTTCACAATCCCGTTATTCGTAATAGTACCATTTTGAGGTCAGAATCAAAACAGAAGGTTCTGGAGAGCAAGGGAAGGAAAGGGACGCGACGATGTCAACGGCCTTTCTTCGGTGCCCACAAAGTTGTCATGGCGGGACGACGCTGTTCACAAAACACACTGCCAGGAGTAAGCATTTTCTCTTACTCTCCCTTCACGGGGACTTCCCGGGCCCAGGAGTACCACGCCGGCCGCCAGCATCTCAGCGCCACACGGGCGCTGCAGGCCCCATGCAGCCATCACCTGGGACCAGAAGTCTGGCCCCGTCCCAGAGGGGGTCCAGGAGAGAGCGCTTCCCGATGCCTTCCCGCCATGGCCACAGCCCTCTTCTGAGGAGACTCACCCGAGCTGTCCGTCGCTGTAGGTGCCGGCCGCCGCCTGGGCAGCCGTCAGGTGCGTCCTGCGAACGCCGCCGTCCAGCGTGGCGCTGGGCCCGGCCTCCCGCTGCGAGCGCGCGCTGTGGAAGGAGCTCTGGTGCCAGGAGGCCCTGGCGCCCCTGTTCTGCGTCACGAGCTGCAGCGGCCGCGGCGCCCAGCTCAGGTAGTTCTCCTTCTCCAGGAGGTTGCCCATGCTGTGACTGGTGGCGGGCCGCGGGTAGGTGAGCACGGCAGGGCTGACGGCCGCGCCGCCGTCGAGCGCCGTCGCGTACTGGTACTGCCTGTGGTAGGTGTCGTAGTGGCGCCGCCGGCCTCCCGCCTGGCTCAGGCCCACGATCTCGGAGCGCGCGTAGCGGGGCGGCCCCTGCGGCGTGGGCCGCGCGCCCTCGGGGGGCCACGGGGCCGGGCCCGGCCGGCCGCGCGCGCCGGGCTGGGGCTCGCTGGGCGCGTAGAGCAGGCGCTCGGGGCTGCTGTCGGGCGACACCTCGAGGCGCCGCAGGGGCTGCCTCAGCGCCCGCTCTTCCACCGACTTCTGCGAGCTGTACTGCGCCGCCCCTCTCCTCCAGCGGCCCTCGAAGGTGGCGGTATTGCCGGCCTGAGGACAAGAAAGGAGGTGAGGGGAGGCGGCAGTGCCATTACCCCGGGAGCCTTTCCTCTCAACCCAAAGACCACAGCCCCTTAAACCGGACTTGACTAACCCGAGTACCGTTTTTAGTTCCGTTTTGTTTTTGCGTTAGGAACTGATAATGCCATGGGCGAGCAGTCAAGACACACTTGGGACACCCGCACGGCACACTGAGTGCTGGTTGGAGTCCAGGCCGCACTTCCGATCCAGCTGCCTGCTGGGGCAACAGGCGATGAGCCAAGGGCATGCACACCTGCCTCTCACGTGGGAGGCCTGGACGGAGCGCCCAGCCCTGGCTGTTGCCCACATGCGGGGAGAAAACTGGTAGACGACCTATGTCTCTGTCTCTATTTGCCTTTCAAGTAAAACACATCAATAACACATTCAAAGTCCCGGATCTTCCATGGTGCCCACACACTCAGTGTTCTCCACACTGCTTTAGGAAATAATAACACTTAGAAACAAGCATCTGAGAAAATAAATCTAGGGGTGTTTGAGGGTGTTTCTTCTTAAAGATTTATTTATTTGAAAGGCAGAGTTAGAGAGAGCTCTTCCATCCTTTGGTTCACTCCCCAGATGGCTTGGGCTGGGGCAGGCCACAGCCAGCAGCCGCGGAGCTTCACCGAGGTCTCCCAAGCACTCGGCGTGTCCTTGGCCGCTTTCCCAGGCCATCAGCAGTGAAAGAGCTGGACTCCAATCAGCACCCAAATTAGGCCACAATGCTGGCCTTTGAAAATGTCTTCTTGGGAACCTGATAATCTCCTACCTTGAGCACGTCATAGGTCTTAGTAACAGGGGACCGCCCTCCGACAAAATCATTTTCCACCAAGTGTAGGTTGTAGACATACTCAGGAACACTGCTGGTTCGGTGTAGATTTCCTGCAATCAAACCAACACCGAAATAATTCAGCATGTAAAGGGATTAATCACTGCATAACAGCTACCGATCAAATTCTTACACTTTAATAATTCAGGCTAATATTAAACAAGTGTACCATTAGCGTTTTTAAATGCTAACTTAATACTACCTTCAGATGTGGCACGTGGTCAAAAATCATTCAGACATTTTCTGTAGAATTCCCAAAAGCAAAACTAATTTTAAAATAGAGGGGAGAAGGGGCTGACAAAAACGTAAACCTGTTTGGCTGTTACCCTGCTACAGAATATGATTGAGGGGTCAGTACGTTCTGTTTCTCAAGTCAGGGAAGAGCTGCGTTCCGGGTGGGAAATCAGGAGCTTTTTCTAATAAATAGGTGTAGGCAAGAAATACAACAGTGACTCAACACCGCTAGATAAGACTGCTTGTGTAAACAAGGTGGGTCAGTGTGGTCAGAGGAAACTGGGGCCAGCTTCACACCGGGCGGGGGTATGTGCCAATACACGGGAGTGTTAGAAAAACATCTGGGTTCTGCAAGTGACTGCGCCTCTTAGCTGCATGGTCTCACACACAGCGCAACCTCGCAAAAACACCAAGCCCGAGGCAACCTCACGACCACCTCCGGGTCCACATGGACACCAGTTTTTGAGTCGCAGTGACTCTACTTGCCATCGAGCTCCCCTCTAACGGGCCTGGGAAAGCAGGGGAAGAAGAATGTGTGCCCTGCCTCCAACATGGAAGACCTGAACGCAGTTCCTAGCTTCTGGGTTGCGCTTGGCCCAACCCCAGCTACTGCTGCCATTTGCAGAGTGAGCCAGGAAGTGGACGATCTCTCTTTCTCTTTAACTCTGCCTTACAAATTAATAAATTAAAAATTTTTTCAAAATAGTCAGGATTCATTCACAAGTTATCCTGAAGGGAGGAGGAGCAGAAATTGCTGATGGCAGAGCTACAGAGTCTGAATCCTCCCAGACTGTGTTTGTCCGCATGTCCTTCGTTCCTGGAGCCAAACAATCTGGCTGGCACACAGCTTTCTGGCCTCAAGGGATGCTGGAGAAGCAGCTGCAGACTGCTAGCTGTCAGCCTACACACGGGGGGAAGTGGAGGCAAGCCAGGTGTGTCCTCTTTGCAGGGTCTCGAGTGCCGAGAGAATCCTGGAACCTTGACCCTGTGTGAGGGGAAGGGCCTTGCAGATGCAGCTCAGCGTGTGGCTAAGCTAGCCCTGGACACCCCTGCTCATGCCCAGGCCACACTCTAGGCCACTAAGGAGGGATGATGGCACGGGTCCTGTTCGTGTGGGAGAGCAAGACAGCAGGACAGGTTTAGGGAACACAAAGACTCTGATCTTGGGGTCCAACACCACAGGGCCCTCAGCACCAGGCATGTACAGAGCCGGTAGGGACCATGCCACAAGTACCCCAATCCCTTCCTCATCCCCAATTAAACAGAAGCCTCTTCATAGAGGCTGTGACCAGGCAGAAAAGGATCAGTCAGTTAGTGCATAAGAAGCCACATCTATGATGTGAATGTGCAAGTCAGGGACCTTCTAGAATGAGAAAATAGTAACGATCTCTTGGGGATCCTGGGGGACCATCAATTCGTGTATGCTACAATAAAATACCAGATCCTGAAAGTGTGTAATTTTAGTATCCCAAGAAAAATGTTTGCAATTGGGGCTAAACCAGCCCGTTCTTACGGTGATATTCCTCCTGTCCTACTTCTTAGAGTAGGTAAGTACTCAGAAGCCTACTGTTCACACTGATTCCTGCCAGTATTTGTAAAATGACAGGACTCAGTGAAAGAGTACAGCTTAACCGGCTAATGAACCAGGGACTTAGAAACAAGACTGCTGCGGTGAGTGGCCCGCTCTCGTTAACACGTGGCTGGGGGTTCAAGGCTCTGTCAAGCAACGTCCACGAATCCCTTAGATTGCGAGTTACGCTCCTTTTAAGGAGCGCAGGTTATTTTTGCTTCTTTACAGCGCTGCAGGTGGCAGAGCCGATTTGTAGTATCTCAATTTAGTGGAGGAACGCTTAGGCTATTTGCTGTAAGTTTCAAAGATATGATTGTTTAAATTCCAGGTTCCTTCTTCATGCTATTTTCCTATTCAGTGCTCAGTGGTTATTCTGGAATTGTCATTTATCAAAACACCAGAGGGGAAGTTATCACAGTTTTTTCTAAGAAGACCAGAAACAATTTTCTCTTCTAGAAACTTTACCTGGGCCATTGCAAGTACTCTATAATTATTAATTCTTGATTTACTGAAATAATTTTAATATTTATTTTTCTATTACTTGAAAGGCAGAAAGAGGAAGGCAGGGAGGAAGCAAGGAAGGCAGGAAAAAAGGAAGGATGGAAAGGAAGGAGGAAGTGAGGAAAGCAGGGAGAAAAAGAGAAACAGAAATATTTTCCATTCTCTGATTCACTCCTCAAATGCCAGAGAATGCCTGGGCTGGCCCGGTGGGAGGCAGGAGCCTAGAACCCAGTCTGGGTCTCCCACATGGGTCATCAGGAATCCAGATATTTGAGCCATCCGCCATCTGTTGCATCATAGTCTTGCGTCAGCAGGAAGCTGGATCAGAAGCAGATCTGGGGCAGGCTCTCTAAACCACTGAGTAAAATGCCTGCCTCTGAGGTAAGCTGTTTAAAGTTAGGGACCCAGTGCAGTAGCCTAGTGGCTAAAGTCCTCACCTTGCACGCACCAGGATCCCATATGGGCGCCGGTTCTAATCCTGGCAGCTCCACTTCCCATCCACTGGTTCAAGCCCCAAATGGTCGAAACAGCTGGAGCTGGGATTGGGCCAGGTGTACACCTGGCATCAAGAACCATCCAGGTCACCAAGATCGGTGGAAGGAACCCAAGCACTGGGTCATCTGCTGCTGCTTTTGCAGTGTGCTGGCGGGGAGCTGAATCAGAAGTGCAGCACCCAGATTTGAACCAGTGTGCATATGGGATGCTGGCATCACAGGCTGTAGCTTAACCTACTGTGCCACAGTGCCAGCTCCTGTGACATTTCAAATGACTTACTTATATCAAAAGGAGGTCGGTACATGGAGTCTTCAAAAAGCTCATGGAAGTGTGTATTATCAAAAACAATGCATCATTCCCAAATTCTGATGTGCCCTTATCCTTCCCCTAAGTTGAAGAAATCTACGAACTGTGGAGACAACAGTGTGTTACATTTTATGTATTTTGACAAGTCACTTACATTCCTCAGCTTTCCACAATTCCCAGGATACCCAAGAGCGTGTGGCCTGAGATAACATCAAGCCAAATACTTCCAACAGTGTCAAGCAGGCTCCAGTGCTGCAGCCTGTGAGTGCTGGTTCAAGTCCCAGCTGCTCCACTTCCAACCCAGCTCACTGCCAATGTGCCTGGGACAGCAGCAGGGGATGGCCCGTGTGGGGGACCTGGAGGAAGTTGCTGGCTCTTGGCTCTGGTCCTGCCTGGCTGCAGGCATTGGGCCACTTGGGGATTGAACCAACCGATGGAAAGATCTCTCTTTCTGTAACTCTTTCAAATGAATCTTGAAAGAAAGAAGGAAGGAGGTAAAGAAAGGAAGGAAGGAAGAAGGAAGGAAGGCATAAAGTGGCAGGGATCTGCCCATCTATGGCTGCTTGGTACTGCGCAAGCCATAAAAGCCCAAATTCACTTTCACCTCCCTGCCCCTTGTCTCCCCTGAAGCAGGCAATCAAACCTCAAACTGACTTTCCCATGAAATGAGTAATAAAACTCTCATTCCAGAGGGGTCCCTGTGTGCCTGGAAGACAGGAATGTCTCCCAGGGAAGAATCCAAACAGACAGGCCTTGCTCAGTGTCCTCAGCTGATGAGTGCTGGCGCTCACTTCCCTCCGCCTGGGCTGTCCGGGAAGCTTTCCCTCTTGCTTTGGTCTCCATTTCTGAAGGCTCCCCTGCCATGTAAGACATTTAGATTAAATAGATGTGTATGCTGTTCTCTGTTTTATCCGTCTCTTGCGATCACAGTCTCAGCCATAAACCTAGAGAGATGGCTGAGGAAAGAAATCTAGTCTTTCCTACACAGCCAATGTGCAAAACTGAGACAGGACTTTAAAATAAACCCTGGGTCACAGAGACATGTTATTGCCAGCTTTTCAGCAAGAAGGACACGCTTGTCTGCATGCTTTAATTTACAGTGTGCTGCACGTCCAGGTGTTTGTTCTGCTGAGTTTACCAGTGGTGTTTAACCTGGCTGCCTCTGGCTGACCCAGACACTGAGGCACAGGACAATTTCATTATAAATTTTTCAACCACTCGTGTTTAACACAGAATGCGCCGATTGTGTTTCCTTCAGGTGACGAGGAACTGATCAACAATAATTTAAACATTTCATGATTTTCTGATTACTGCTGACAGGCAACAGTATGTAAACCTTTTCTATGAAAACTGTGCACACTTTACTGAGCCCATTCAGGGGAATGAGATTCCAGCTGCAAAGTTCTCTTCCCGTACCATTCTCAAATAACCACAGATTCAGGTCAAGCAGGGCAGTAGGAGCACAGGAGAGGGCTTGTGGAGCTACTGCAAGGACTGGAAACGCCCAGAAGTCAGCAATGGGAGAGTCTCACAGCATAATGAGTGTCAATTTCTCTTTTGAATGTCCATATGCACAGTATAATCCTATGCAGCTGTGAGGGGAAAATAGCTTTATTTCTAGTCATCTATGCAAGTAGTGCCCAAAACAATAGATTATTTTTAGGATTAAAGGCACTAAATTTCCATTATCAGCTTTATTACAGAATATGCTTGTGAAATATGCTTATGGACTTGATAAGCCTCCAATGTGATTTCTATTATCTGTTCATGGTCACAGTTTTACAAAACTAACCACAGCATCCCTCATGGCAAGGAGGCAACAGAGAACAGCCAAACAAACAACACAGCTTTTACAACACCTGCCTCTATTATGGAGAAGACAGAGGCAGTCTGTGTAGGAAAGCACCTTTTCCTTCAGCCTTGCAGAACTCTCTCAGGGTGCTTAGA